TTTCTGGAGATATGATAGCCGATATGATAGCCGATATGATAGCCGATATGATAGCCGATATGATAGCCGATATGATAGCCGATATGATAGCCGATATGATAGCCGTGCTTTAGTCTACAAATTGGCTCCATATAATGCCTTGTGTGGAAGGTACACCTAAAAGGGTGTTTCTATTTTAGATGCAAGTTTCCTGGGTTCCATGAGATTGCTCCATGTAATAACTTCCTGAATTTTGATATATAATGACTGGATGACCCCTTCATTTTATGGTCACACCAAAATACAGGATATCACCCACAAGTGGCAATGGGGATAAAATCTGAAATTAAAGCTTCTGATCCCAGTAAAACAAATGCGTGACACACAAATATGTGAGGAATGATGACTAGACATAACTAAACAGGAGAGTCACAAGTGAATATGGCAGCATAGTGGCTCAGTAGTTGGCACATCTGTCTTGCAGCCCTAGGCTCCTTGGTTTGAAACTCTGCAAGTACGCTGCATGGATTTTGCATATTCTCCCGGTGGCTGTGTGGGTTTCCTCTCACACTTTGGCATAGACTATGAAGCGGACATCTCTGGCAACACGCCTGCTGCTGCATCTCACTATACTAGTCCGCAATATAGGTGGTTCCAAACATAAATGGCTAGGCTGAAGCTTTTGTTTTGTGCTACCAGAAGACCTCTATCAGACAGAAACAAAGCGTGTTACAAATGTCTTGCAAATTCTCCAACCAAAATGAAAGATGTTCCATCATGTTTGGTCAACCCAACCATGTTTTTCTACCTCCTTCTGTAATCATGTCATCAGTTTCTCAATGTCTGACCCTACATCAAGCTTTGGATATAAGGAGGTAGCTAAGCTGGTAAAATCTTCCACATTTTCAAAGCCAACTTATCTAAAATACAGTATATAATTCAGAGAAGGGAAAAAAATTAAACTAGAAGCCAAATATTATCCATTCCTGGCTGCTTCTTGTGTCAAAGGCAATGGGGTAGCTGAAACCTGCCAAAGATGTTGTGTTGGAAAACCAGTATATGGGAGAAACACCTGAACAGAAAAGGTCACTATCAGGTGCATCAGACTGGGGTTTTAATGATGGCATAATGCATAATAGCAAAAGAGGGAAGACCAGAAATTCATGAGGTATGGAGGAGACATTTGATTAGGGTGGAGATGAGAATATCAAACAAAAGATGTAGGGAAAAGATAGGCAGAAAGGTTTATAAAGAAGACATCTCTGGCAGAGGTATTGAATAACCACAGTGTGAGTAGTGCTGCATATAAGTCAGATAGCATGAAACCCCATTTCAAGTGACACTAAACTCGGGAGTTAAATCTAAAAAATACATTCAAGTACCTAACCTATTAACAAAAATGTATCTTATCTGCTGTAGATCCTCAAATCATCTCGGAGTTGGTGCAGACGCTGTCCTTACTTCAGGAGGGTGGCTACTTTTGTTCCTCATGGTCCGTGTGTTTGTGTTGTAAAGTAGTCACTGGTCCAAGATCACTCCTCTGAGGAACTACAATCTCAATACAAATTAGTATTACTATAGTTTGTTAATAAGGTACTTGAATGCATTTTTAAGATTTAAAGTGACATTAAAGGCTATTTTTTTTTCCCCCCACCCAATGTCAGTGTAAGGACTTACCTTTAAATGATGCCTCTTTATTCGATCATTTTCTTCCTTACTGACCTTTTCGGATGTCCCTCCAGTGCTGGTGCGGGTCTCTGATCCAGCGCTGACTCCTGTCCTCTCCTCTGATGTCCCACAGAGTCTGCACAGGTGCACGCTGCTCCATAGACTTGCCTTGTGTCTCTCCTCGTCTCCTCACAAAGTCCAAATCCCATTCGCACTGCCACGGTCTCAAAACCACAAAGTCCGCACAGTGATCCTGATGAAGGATCCCTGTGCGGACCCGAAACGTTAGCACTGTATGACAGTATGTGACATTGGGTATTGAATAAACATATGAATACTTTAAAAACCCTTCAAGTGTGTGCCGGTGAATTACTTTTATCTCCTGGCCGAACATCTGAACTGCGCATGTGCCCGCCACAAGATCCTTTGCGGCCGCCCGAGACTCTTCCGATGTTCGGACAGGAGCGCACAGCAATGACACAGCGGGTTTTTTACTGTACAGACCAATCTGCAAGCTGATATAATGTCACTATGCAGTGGTCCGACTGGCCCCTTAAAGGACATATCCTCTGGCCCCTAAACTGGACCCATGTAAGTAGAAATGCAGAAGCTGCCATTGCTATCTATCTTGCTCTCTAAATATAGTAAATATGAGCAAATTAATAAAATAATGCACGTCATTGGAAATGCCACATGTATTAGTAATGTGTGAATCGGGGCATAGAACTGGGGTTTCATGTTTTAGAGCACCATGGCTTTGCGGTCTCATGTTTATTTTTGGTTTAGTTGTAATTGCTAATAATTTACTGGCTTCTGCATTAGTAAGTACATGTGATCATGTCTCACTTGCCCCTCAAGCGATTATCTTTCCCTTTGGCTACCTGAGCTCATCGGAAGTATAACTAGGGGGTGCGCATATGGTGGATTTTATGACTGAAATGTTTGGCAATAAAATGTGTTCCTTTTTCCCATAACAGTAAATTAAATGCTATGACCACAAGGGTTTTGGTACCATGGCTTTGTGTTATTTAATGCCACTACATGACATTTACTTTATTAAAGCATTGTGCATCATAAACAATTGCTATTTTTTTTCCATTAAATCCTTTTCTTTAGCTTTTGTTTCATCTTTTTTTGCATCTCAGTGCTGCTGATTTCCACCAGCCTCTTGTCTATATGATAAGTAAAGTTACCCCCTGCACACCTTAAGTAGTAATACAGTATGTACAGAATGCAAAGATAAATAGGTGCTATACGTCCAAATGGGAGTGCAATTCTTTCACTCCAACACGAAATAGTGAATGTATCAGACTAGCACACCATATGCCTCAGAATCCTTGCTTAATAATTTAAGCACAAAGTCTAACATCAAGTACTAACTTTATACAGAGGAATGTTATAGCAAACGCAGACTGTTAGACATCCAATAAACATATACAAAACATAAGCCATTTATTAGGGATGCATCAATACCGGTATCGATACTGGGCATTTTCACGTACTCGTACTCTTGAAAATGCCCCCAATACCGGCGCTTTACATTTTTAAACTGAAGCCGACAATGTAAACAGGCACCGGAGTTCGCAGGAAGGCTGCCAAAGTCCCCAGCAAGGCAACCTTCCTATGAACCGAGTCGCCTGTTACCGCGCCAGCTGCACATCTTCCTGAAACACCGTCACCCGCACCCGCCAACGAGACCAAATGGGATCCCTGTTGGGACCCCGCACAGCCACCTGAGACCCCGCACAGCCTCCTGAGACTCCACACAGCCTCCTAAGACCCTGCACGGCCACCTGAAACCCTGCGTAGCCCTCCTGAGACCCTGCACAGCCGCCTGAGACTCTGCACAGCCCTCCTAAGACCCCACACAGCCTCCTGAGTGCTATTCCTCATCTCTTTCTGGAGAATGGGATTCAGGAGCCATGGAGATGTAAAGTACCCCAAGGGCTTACCGTCATTGCCTGTCATCAGGAGTTTACTCCACCTTGGAAATCACCTGCCTCCACTTCCTCTTCTGTAGCCTGTAGAAAAAGTATGGCAGCCTATACTCCATTAGGC